TCTGACGGATTTAAGATGTCACTCATGATTGGTTCAATGTGTACACAAACCTCAAGCCTTCAAAAATATGAGCTTTGTCCTTTGCCATCCGGTTCTCCATGGTTGACTGATTTCCTTTAATTTTTTATTTTTATTTTTGCTGTGTATGGGTTATGTTGCTGAGGTGGTGAAATGGGGAGGATGGTATAAGCTATTCTATAACATTTGTATGTGGAGTATTTTGACAAATTTTCAAGTTAAATGAACACTTTGAAGGATGGAAGTTGGCGCTTTAAGAAGATGAAAAGCATTTAACAATTTCAGTTTATAGTATTCGGAAGTTCTTTTTTGCTGTCTAATTAGTCCACATATCTCTCTAATCCAGTTACTCTTAGTTAGAAAGTCAATATCCTATTTTTACTTGCTGCTATGCTTGTTCTGTCTCTGTGCTGCTGTGCTACTTTGGTGCAGCTGTCTGTGACTGATGATGCTGACAGTGCTGCTATGAGAAGCTGGTTAGGCTTGTTGGATGACTGTGCTGCTGTAATTCTGCTGCCTAGTGCCAAGAACTGATCCCTGTTAGCTGCTGCCTCTGTTTACTGCCTGCCAGGTGCTATGCTGGCTGTCCCTGCTTGCTGCCGCTGCTTTTCTTTGCCTTCTGATGCTGTCTGCTTGCTGCTGCTGCTGATTCTGGAGGTTTCTGTCCTGCTGCTGTTATTCTTTCTTTTTTTCTGGTTTGTTGCTGTTTGTAACCTCCAAGTTTTGAGGGGTTTGTGTTTTTTTCACGTAGCGTATTTATTTGTGTATGAGGACACGGTGCGGCTATACTTTATGAGGGCTTGCCCTTTTTTCTTTTAGTAATAATATCCCTTTCTTACCTACCAAAAAAAAAAAATGATTACCTCCTAAAATGTTGCCTTTGAGATTATTACCTAAAATGATTACCGTTGCCAATTATTTAAAAAAAAAAAAAAAATGGTCAATGGCAACGGTTAACCGTTGCCAATTATTTAAAAAAAAAATAAAAATAAAAATTGGTCAATGGCAACGGTTAACCGTTGCCAATGGGTCAATAGCAACGGTTAACCGTTGCCAATTATTTTAAAAAAAAATGTTCAATGGCAACGGTTCACCGTTGCCAATTGCTTGAGTTGGCAACGGTTTTGAACCGTTGCCAATTATTTTGGGATTTGGCAACCCTCAAATACGCAACGGTTCAAAACCGTTGCCTTTGGGGGTGTTTGAACCGTTGCCAATTTGCCCTTTTCGTGTAGTGAATATAACAAAGCCTATTCTAGTGAAAATATGTGCAGCAGTATGCACCCTAATGTCAATTTTCGAGAACTTCTGAACCCGGTTTAGCAACACAACAGCCTCCTTCTCTAATTACCCAAGGAAGAAAGGAGAAGGGAAGGAAACTATATCCAATTGTCCGACAACTAGATTCGTACTTGAACCGCTTTCGTTGAGCCGCATCAGCCACAACACGACCAGAAACAAAGTCAGATAGCCCTAACTGTATCAAAGGAGAAGAACCCTGTCAAGTCATCACAGACATCTATTATTATTAAGACGGTATATTATTATTCCTTTTTTTAAAAAAAAAGACGGTATATTATTATTATTAATATTATTATTAAGACGGTATATTATAATTATAATAATTATTAATATTTATTATTTATTTCATTTATTACTTATCTATTCATATATACCTTTTTTATTTATTTTGTTAAATGGTCGGCAAGTCAAAATGTCAAATGATTCGTGTATATCTCTATTTTATAACCCAAATTTTAAGGAATTTGTTGTCCTTCTAAAATGTTTTTAAATGATATTACTTGAAATTTTATTTTAAAATGATTGTTGAATACTCGTCTTACTGGTTTTGAAAAAGAAAATTCATATACATAGTACTCCATATATTACTAGCACCATTATTGTTCCTCATGTTATTGATGGTGCTAGGATGCTTACAATACATTATACTATCCACAAAGATCTTCTCACTCATTATAAATTTGCACACTAGCAAAAATTCATAGATTAATGTAAGTGAAATAATTTTTGATAAGAGAGACTAGTTATTATAAGAACACTAATAGCCTCACAAAGTGGGTGAAGTTTGGGTAATACAAAAGTATACTTAATGACTAACATAAATCAATTACTAAAAACTAAGGTACTTCAAGTTCAGAAAAGAACTTATAAGAGAAATGAGGGCATATAAGTTTCAATAAGATTTACTCAAATATTGTTAAGTTTAGATAAGCAAATTGATCGTATCTTAAGTTCTAAGTTACAACCCAATAAATAGAATTTTAATTTGACTATACTTATACTAAATATGGTCTATAGTGTATAGTTATTATTAGATTTTTATATGTATCTGAGAGAAATAAGGGAATAAAAAATTTACCTATTACTCCATAGTTTACAAAAACAAGTTCGATCCACATAACTTAGTTTGATATTTGTTTTCCATATATAAGTATGAAAATGTACAAGTACAATGATACGTAAATAATTCTAAACGTATTAAAATCTAATTTATTAATTAAAAATAAATAAATTACAAACTTAATTAGCAATTGAAGAAGAAAATGACAAGTGATACACTATTGCTGTAATTGATGAAGACAATTTAACCTAATTTTTGGTAATTAATATACTATTAAATAAATATCCAACTATTAAAGAAAAGGACAAATACACAATTTAATTGACAATATGAAATCATTTTTCTTCCTACTTAAAAATTTAGACACCCAAATAATTAATCGCTACTTGTCCTTAACACTTTTCCTACTAAAGTTAAGGTAAAACTAACAAAAAAAAAAAAAAAAAAAAACATTCTAGTAATTTACACTTTTGTGACCTAATGATGTTTCAATAATCTTACTTATTTATTTGTGTCAAAATAATCTTATTTATTTAGGAGAGCTCTAAATGAGTCAAAAGAAGAAAAAAAATAAATAAATTGGAAATACACATAGGGGTAGAAGGAACCTTATGCTCTAGTCTCAAGTTCTTGGCCACTTATAAAGAGCATTATATATATATATATATATATATATATATATATATATATATATATATATATATATATATATATATATATATAGAAAATATAAAGAGCATTATATGAATCATAACAATCACTAATAATTAATAACCCTTTTTTTTCATGGTCCAATGAATTTTTTTGAAGTTGAAAAAGGGTCAATAAGTTCAATAAAATTGCTTCATTTTTATGATTCAATAGGCTTTCATTATTACCAAAATTATACTTGTATGATAAAAGAGATTACCCACAATAAGCATCAATGTAGGAGCCGGTCCCCATTGATATCAGATATCAACAAACATTGTTAATATAATGGCAATGTTGTAAATAATAGGCAAGACGTTTGGAAAAGTATTGATATAATAATGGAAATCTGATGTGGATTACGTTGTGCCCATTTGTGGGTAAATCTGGGGAGAAGGAGAGAGAAACAATGCCCCCAAAGTGAAACCCACCTCTCTCCTTGACAATGAAGGGATGCACGCTAATCTAATCAAACACTATCGGCGGCGAATCTCAAACATTACCAGCGACTTTGCCGCCAAATTAAACGAAAACCCTAAGTAAAAAGGAGTAATTTAGGGTATAATTAACCCTAAAGGGTAGGTGTTAAACTCCTCCATTGTTTTCACCATAAAAGATGAGCTTTCATTGCTTCACCATTGAAGATGAACTTTTCATTCTCCATTGAAGGCAGCCACAAGAGTTTGCGTTGGTTGAAGGCGAATTGATGATGATCGTTAACGTCGATTCTTTTCACGGGGTCAAATTACGGGAATGAGCTGGAATCTTTATTCTTACAATTTTGCCCCTCACTAACGTAGTTGAAAAGACCGCAACACCCCTATATTAACAAGTTTGGTTGATATCTAATATCAACTTGTATTTTCTCTTAATGTAGAATCAACCAAACTTCCAAAAAAAGGTTTCATATTAATAACCAAGAAATTCAAATGTTTGATTCAAAGCAATTCAGACACTAACGTCGTAGTCTCTATAGTCTATCCCTCATTGATCACATTCCTATAAGCTTAGCTTCTCTCTAGATGGCAAGATACGGAGTCGTACAAAATATCCATGGTCTTCCATGTTAGATACTTCGTATTAAGACTATTATCAACCCCTGTAACATACGCGTTTAAATTATATGCACGTATTAGATGTCAAATAAAATTTGTTACCTGTGACAACTGTACAACACTCATCATAACTGTAGTCCATACTCCATACAGTGACACTAGTACGTAAGTACCATCAATTTCTTACCTGTTCTTGTGTCTGTTGGAAAATTTTCTACCAAAAAATTGCCAAAAATGGAAGCTGAAATATAGGATAAATAATTCCTCAAATAACGATACTTGTAATAGCTTTTTTCACCACTAAATCACAAAATTTAAAGATTTTCCAGAAAACTTTACAAACTGTTATTTTCGATATAACTGTCATATTCTTCTTCAGTTCACAGATAAAAAGGGAGAAAAATTCTTGTCCTTAATCACATGGGACACAACCCTACATCTAAAGGGGTAGAGAGAGAAAGCAGAGACCATTAAAATCACATTGACAAGAGGAAAAGGGTCCCACTCACATGCAAAGTGGCAAACAACAGTGCCAACTCTGCAATCACTTTCACATTGAAAATGGCAGCATTGGAACAAAAAAAATTATAAAATTAAATACTCCCATTATCTCATAATATAAGTTCCTCTTTTCCTAATGTAAAAATTATTATACCCTTACTTTTTTAACTTTATTCATTATACTCCCTAATTTACCCTTGAATTTTGCATATGTATTGTACTTTTTTCCACTTTCTCTCTCTAACATTTGTCAATGCTTGTACTTTTCACTTTTTATTAATGTATTTCATCCACTTTCTCTTCTATTTCTTAAATACCGTGAAAAAACATAAACAGAAACTATATTATGGGACGAAGGGAGTAGAAAAATGTTATGGAGCTCCTTATGATTATACAGTAGCGTAACATGGTACATTGCCTCAGAATTCAGGGGATGAAATCCTGAGTCAGAAAATTTATAACAGTCATAAGCACCATCAAGGGCACATTTAATTTAAGGATAACACATTAACACATACATTGAATTAAAACAAAGTGAGTTGTTGATGCAAACATGGGATGTGTTTTACAATCCCTTCTGTGGGAGCGATCGCTCCCTGGTGATCTGATAGTAATTGTTCGTTCGTTACAGATATTTCATGACCAACTGATACATTCTTAACAAGATTCACACTGAAGGGTTAAATGATACTGATAAATATGGGAATCGAAAGGGAGCTCAAACCTCCCAACCTCCTCGAGGTTGAAATTTTGATTTTCATCTCTCCAGGCTTCAATATTGCGTTAGTGGTTTTTAAAAAAATTAATGTTGGACTATGGTTTGCCTATGAGATGGGTGGGTTCACCATTGCTTCTTGCAGGGGCCAGTCCTTCCGGGACAAATAAATTACAGGACTCGTAAAAAAAATACTACTGATATATATATATATATTGAGCAAAGACCTGGATGTAGCATCTTGATTCAGGTTTGGACGGACAACCCACTCACTTCCCAACAGTTCTCAAAGCTCAGCCATACTTTATAATCCAGAAGCTATGTTTGGATTAAGTTCTCCTTTTGGTTCTCTGGTAAATCTGAGAAGGTCTCCAGCACCTAATGCGAAGGGAAATGCAGAATAGTAAGATGATTGATTTGCAAGTGCCAATTCAAGAGAAACAGACTGACTTTTACTTACCTCATAGAGGTACCATGAAGCAAATGCATCAGTTGCTGCATACCGTAACTGGGCCTTTGAAAGAGGATCATCTTCCCAATTTCCTAGTCTAATCTTCTTAGGCTTCAAGAGCTGCATACAAATATTCAATACAATCTCGTAAATCTTTACTATTAAAAGAGCACATAACACAGCCAAAAGAGTAATGGGGACAATTAGAGCCACAGTTGTAACACACAAAACAAAATTGATGGTCAGAGTGAAGAGTAGTTTTCTGAGGTGACAAATACCACAGTGGAATACAAACACAGAACTCAATCCATATGTAAATCAATTGTTAGAACATGTCATAGCACAGATGGGAAAAGGCAATTGAGGCAGCTTTTAAACTTCAGATTAGATATCAAGAAATCACACAGAAACATGGACTCACAAGAGTCACAACTGGCAAATTTAAGCTTCATAGTGAAACTTAAATTGAAATTAGACTGGGATATAGCCTTAAAAGAAATTAGGATAGGCAACCCCCTTATTCATATTTTAGACGCTAAGCATCACGTTGACACAGAATAAATTACTCATGACACAGAATATTTTAAATTGAAATTAGACACTAATTTGCAACAACTTTGTATCATATATCTTTGTATTATAATGATCCTTTAATAAATTACTCATGACACAGAATAATCTTCACCGGATTTCATTTTTAGGGCAAATTAAGGAAGAGACAAGGCACATAACATGGCTAACAACAGAATCTGTTACAAATGAGAAGTTCCACAAAAATACTTTTTCATATGGGATTCTCACAATTGTCATGATACGCAACTGCAATGAAGAAAAAAAAAATGCACGAGTATGAAGAATAGTGGCTAAGTTCCCCAAAGCTGACAGGGTCTGGGCAAAATGCCCAAATTTGGTATGATCTACAACGTCTATAATAAAATTCTCCAAAAGAAACTGCAAGGTGTGCTGCATTCATGTCTCCAATTAATGACTATCATCTATCTTAGAATCATACAAATAAATTTTAAAAAGAAAACACACACACACATACACAGAGAATGAGAATTAGGAAAGAAACTGATGAGCAAAGTTTCTGGTGAACATAAATCAACAAGATGATATCCGAGCATATAAAAAAGGCTATTAAAGAATCAACTAAAGTTAAAGACACCATCAGCATTAAAGAGAACTTCAAGGGAAGCAATAACCAATAATTAGTAAAGCAAGAGGTACCAATTATGTACTTGTTTGCAAGTAAATGTTTCGACCAGTGAAGACAGACTCCACTGCTTAGGTACACCACCAAGCTTTTGATTGGCCAGACTGGATAGATCTTCCAAAGATTTTATTGACACATTATGGTCGTGAAAGACTTTAACAGCATCATTGTCGATACCAACTCCAACCTGTAAATGATACAAAATTCATTAAGGAAGAGGTTCACAAGAGATATAATTTAGAAGCACAAAATTACAAAACTCACAACCTTGATGTATGTAGAATCTTCCAGAAGAGATTGCAGACTACCAGGAATTCCAGAATGAATAATATGCAATACATAACAATGATGCATATCCCCGCATATTTGCATGACTGCAGCTTTTCCCTGTGGAATACCTGTAGCACAAAGATCAATGTAAAAATGGTTAGAAAATATGGTAATTTACTTGTAAAATGTTTGTTGGTGCACATTTTTCATCATTGATATCATTGAAACAAATTCTTGACTACCGCTGCAACAAATTTAAAAATTATCATATCATTGAATCAAACTCATTCTTGATACTTTGTAACCCTATTGATAAGCCTGTTCTGGTTCCAAACCAACTTTTATCACCCCGTGAGACACCCTCCACAAGTCCACATCCACTTCAACTTTTGAAAAAGTTCCTGAAATTGGTTTCAATGCATGGATTATAACCTTCAATTTTGAATCATTTTCAACTTTTTCGGCCCAGAAAGGAAAGAGGAAGAGGTGTTTCCCTTAGACCTCACAAGACCCCAGCAGGCCGCTTGGGTGGTTTGAACCATCAACTTTGGTTCTTAACTATCAATTTAGAATGTTATAACTTATAAAACACGTCTTCCATCATTGATTAAAGCCACCTCGAGATGGGACTCAGTGACTGATTAGCGCGAGTATATGCTTCCAAACAACCATTTGTGACCACAAGAAACATCCCCCATCATTACACTAGGGTCTGAAAATCTCCGAAGGTTCGATTTCATGTATTATAACCTTAAATTTTGCCTCTAAGGACATTTTTGGACCGGCAAGGTTAGACATCAAGGTGCATCCCAATTTTCCGAAGGAACCCCGCAAGGCCTGTTTTATTGGTTGATTCCATCTAATTCATATCTTAGCCCACGACTTGGCATCCTGCATAAATATGTCTTAGATTGCCCACCCTGGCCTTTAGTACCTTGCCACACACAATTTTCATCTTGTTAAAAGTAGTAATTGCAATATAAGAATGGTTAGAAAAAAGTGGTCATTTTCTTACAAAGTGTTTGTCGGTGGCTCGGTGCACAATTTTCATTATTTATATCATTGAACAAACTCTTTACTACTATTCTAAGTTTGTAACAAAGTTTCTAAATAGTCATATCATTGAACCAAACTCGTTCTTGATACTTTATAAACCTATTGATAGGCTATTATGGTTCCAAACTAGCATTGGGTGGTGGAAGCCATCCACTTTAGCTCTTAACTATTAATTTAGCCAGTTATAGACATGCCTCCTGTAATTAATATTAGGTCACTTTAGGCCTTTATGTGAATAAATAGTGTGTGTATGTGGTTTCATACAACCTTTTGTGAGCCCAAGATGCATCCCCCACCATTACTTGAATTTATGACACTTAGGTCCAAAAAAGATCTGAAAACATGTTTGCCTTCTTAGCCTCCAAAATTTTTTGGACTCGCCTAGGTTAGACAATAAGGTGCTTCCTATGCTTTCCAAGGGTCCCGGCGAGGCATATTTGGAGGCCAAAAACATTAAATTCATCTCTTAGCTCATGTCTTTGCACCGATGCAACCTCATATATATGTCTAAAGTCGCCTACTTTGGTAAGGGAGATAGAGGAGAAAAGATTCAAGAAAGGGAATTCAGGTTACATAATTGGTTCATTTACAACAAAAAGAAAACGCATTTGACAAACATGCACACACAAACACTATAGCACAAATTCCATGCTCATGAACAGAGTTCATCTGCTCCCTTATCCTTCTCCAACCAAGCACCATCTTTGTCTCTTACCAACTCCGATGATGATCCATTGCTCCCTATTACCCCTCAGCAACCGACCAACCTTCATCTCTTTCTAGGGCTATGTTGCAGTGGTCAAGTTAGTCTATTTGGATTTTGTGGTGGTCTTTTAGCAGTTGAATTCCGGTTCCACCATTAAAACTTTGGATAAAAGGCTTCAATGATTGAGCTCAACCACCATCAAGTCCTTAACCATGATCTTTCAGGTCTACAGGATCATATTACTCTATCTGAAGTTTATGTCTGCAAATACCATTTATTACCCTGATTTAATATCTCAAATTTGCTCTTGCTAGCGTAAATATGCAGCTTTTGGGGATGTGATAATGGTTTTTGGGTTTCCAAATGGAAGGACAAAGGTGGGATTGGCTGATGGGGCTTCAGGCTCAAAATGTGGTGGGGGGAAAATAACAAAAGAGACGATAAAAATCAATAAACTACACACTAAAAGTTATTAATATATGGAAAGTATAGATAGCAAGATAACAAAAAAGATGATAAAAACCACTAAACTGCACACTAAATTTAATTAATAAGGTCAAGAACCGAAAGATATACTCCACCCAATAAGTTAGGGAAAAAAACATCGATGGAGGGAATAATACCATAGGTTGATGCATTGCATAAGCATACTACATTGAGGTCAAGATTGATGCAACAACATTGGTTAATTTAGTTACAGACCTAACAGTCCAGCATCAATCTTATATGCTGTTATGTAACAGCCCCTTATGAGTTCTGACTCAGAAATTATCAGTTTGGAAAACTGAAAAGCTATAATGAAGTGACAAATATGTGTCATAAGGGGCCTTATGACCATACATAATATTCATATTCACAATATGAGGCATATAGTTTCAAGTATTCGAGGGAACATAGCTCTATCACAGTTGTCACACCAAAAGCTAGAATCCCTCCAAATGGATGATACTACTGATACAAAAGAGACATCAGAATGATCTTACCTTCTTAAGGGCTTGGCACTAGCAGCATTTTGTGACGATGCCAAGTTCAAGGGAATAAGAAGAACACCATTAAAGATTTGAAAGAATTTGAATCTAACCACAACATATGGGTTATCAAAGAAGACACATCAAAGGTCACCCTCTAGAGATTATGATCTCACACTCTCACAAGAGGGTATCCTGAGTATCAAGGTCACTGGCAAGGACGTTGTGTGCTGAACACAATCATATTGGTAAGCCAGTCTCTAGTGCAAAGTCCATAATTTGGTGGGACATAATCACGTTGCCAAAATGGAAAATAATATCTTAAGAAATTCAAAAGTCAAGACTCCAACCCCCCAAAGGCTAATTCCATAGGTGCACCAATAAGGTTGACCAAGAAGATATCTTAAAACGTTGTTTTTAGTAATCTCAGAAGAACAAAAGTTGCTTACATTTAAGACCACCCATAATAAGTTATGCTACTGCCAAAAACGAGATTTGGGGTCTGAAACCAAATGTCCAATTATTAGTCAATTGATGGCCTAAATGAGCTTGGCATTAATTGCTAAAGTTCAAGGAAAAAATCCAATGTTAATGAGTTGGCTACAATTAGTTCCATACTTAGAGATGTCCTTGGAAGCAGAAAAAAATAGAACAGCATCTCCAATCATTTCAGCTTTTCAGGCACAATTTGATGGTAAGTTGATGTAAGACGCATTAAGCTTCCGAACCAAATTAAGCATAGTCTCATCAAATTACAGACCTCATTAAAATCAAAGATAACTTACACAACATGGGGGGGTTCCAAGTAAGCAGCAAAGATAATATATGCCCATTATTACAAGCCACAAGGGAAATGGGAATCATAACAAGTTCGAGAGAATGATCCACAAAGCAGATGTTGTCATAAATCACGTCTTTAAAGGCTATTGTTATGTCATCATCATACTACTCGCTAGAATAAATAAAACCCTATCTTCAAACCAAACACTTTCAACATGGTTCCATTGTCCAAATCGCCTCACATCCATAATAACGTCTAATGTACCAAAATCAAACAAAAATGAAGTATATATCTAAGTCAAAGCAAGCTTTTTACAAGTGAACATTGTTTGTCAGATAAGCACCTCAAACCAGTGTTTGAAAAGGCTCAACAGAGCACTTGTGAAGATCTCGGCAAGTTGCTTTTGGACACTAAATGGCACAATGAGATGTACAGGTTGCATTAATTCCATGTATGCAATCTGTGTTAAACACAACTTTAAGAACTGCATTCCACACCTAAGCCCCATGACTCCTATCGTCTAGTGCACATTGAACCTTTTCAACTATTGTCAATGAACCAATGATTCGAACGTATCTTAAACAATTACCAATCTGGAACAACTATGCCCAAAAAGCCAAATTTTAATCATCCTAGCTGAGTATGGAGCTTTCCATCCATATATACAGCCAAATGGTACAAACCTGTCATCCTATTAAAGGCTAATAATGGCGTGACCACAAAGCCTACGTTCAAAAGCACTTCATCAAGTCACAACCATCAAAGTCTATCGTAGTTTAAACTAAGGGTAATTAAAAGCTAATGATCACTACTAGATACCTCTAATAAGATATTACACGTACAAACACTGCCACAGACAATCCATTAAGGAGAGGTTAAAAAGTATAGGTCTTGCCTCAAAATAATAGTAACAGCTTAAACACATATTTATAAATAATAACATGCTAAAAGGTTTCCAGCAATGATAGATCGGGTGCCTAAGCCAAACTACACAAGCACTGACATAATAACATCAACAACAACATTCCTTGAGACCTCTGAATAGGCTCCAACACAAGATGGATAAGGGTTATAAATACAATCTTTTATGGTAATATTAAAGCTCTTTAAAAACTTGGTGTAGAGCACCATAATCATGAGCTACTTCACCATTATTAAGAAGTACACAGAGTTTATAATGGTCATTTTAGTTGGTCCATTAGTACCCAAAGTCAAATAACAGACCCAAGGACAAAGTTGTAGTGCGTGATCATGTTTATCATGGCAGACAAGCAAGAGGCGCAAGTAGATATGAGCTTGGTTATCTTACAAACGAAACACCAAAGCATGAATAAGAAAACCACGTAAACCAACCTCGATCAAAGCTAGGTTTCCATTCAATGTCGAGGCCGAGAACAGCCCTGCCTGTTTTACATTTCTTAGCCTCCAGAAACTTCAAAATCTCCAATGTAGCTTCCTCTACCTCCTCCATCGTCCGGGAATACACAATGCGGCCACCAAAATTCAGTGCAGGATACTTCATTTTCACACTGCCTAACAAACAAAGTTACAAAATTCAATTCATATGTACTACAACGAAACCCTCATCCCAAATACTGCTATCCCCACAAATCACAATACCAATATGCAAAAAACAATCCATCAAAATCCCAAATTCCAGGCAATAACACAAAATTAACCAAATTTATAAAATTAAACAAACCCCAATTTCCAAAACAATCCAATGAATTTTACCTTGGTGGTGGAAGGCCCAATTTCTTGAACACGGGGTTAGAGCGAAATAACTCGAATTCGGAGATGAACCCAATTCACCATTTGAGCAAGAAATGGAGCCCGGCAATCGACGGCGGGTCGTGGGTCGGGCATTAGGGTCATCGTCGTTGTTAACTGAGGAACTGCTACGCGGGGTTTTGAAGGAAGACGAAGAATATGAAGGGGTTGCAGAAATTGCTGATGTTGCAGCTTCAAAAGCTGCTTCAATGGCTTCCAATTCTTCGTTTGAAAAGGGTTTATCCCAATCATCAACAGCTGTTTGAAATTTAATTGTTGTTGTTGTGATTGTCGTTTCTGTTGTTGATGAAAAATGGGGTTTTTCTGGAAAATTCTTCATTTTTGGCGGAGTGTTTGAGACTTTTTAAACGTTTGGGAGTTGGAATTTTAGATTGAGAGACTTTCAGTTGGGAATTATTATGAACTGTGAATTTTGGTTTTTTACATAGGAGGCTGCCTAATAGTAAAACCGATATTTGATTTTGCCTTAAAATCGCTATTTTAAATAGCAAGTTTGGGATAAATCGCTATTTTAAGTAGCGTTTTTACCCATTTTCACCGCAAAAAGTACACTTTTATCTCCAGATTAAACACATTTGAGATAAACTTGTATTTCCTTTTTACAGAGCAAAAGACCGGGCAAATACAAGTTTCTCTTTTCTTTTTAACAAGAGATGTATGGTTACAAAAAATAAAAAAAATACAGAGTAACAAGAGATGTATTCGTAATTTTAGCCAATAAATTAGGATTAATATAGTAATTTGTCTACAATAATGAAGAATTGCAGAAGAAGGCTAAAGCTTTTATGGAAATATCAACTGACTTTTAAAGGAAAATGAAGGAGCTTCAATGGAGAAAATCCAAACTCATCACATTGATAAACTTCAAACTTGGGAAGTTTATCAAATGGCATGGATAGTCTTTTAATCTTTTTGATCAACTTGTTTCGTTGATTTAGCGATATAGTTGTGATGACTATGTCATATTTTGGATGTGCACTGGTGGACATTGTTTATTAACTACGTATCTTACCCTATTAGACGATGTTTGCATTGGTGAGTTATTAGACAGTAACGTCGTTTTCAATTTCCACCACCGAAGCTTGCTCCTTCTTCCTTCCATGATTTATACCCACCTTCCACAGGCACCACCATCTTCATCGCGTCCGCCTTCCACCTACACCACCATTTTCACCACCTTCCACCGACTAACCGACACCAATTTAATTTCCCTGTCTCCACCTTCCACCAATTACACTACCATAAACAGAAATTCTTATGAATAAATGGTGAAATTATGTGCATGATCAACCCTAAAGTGTAGGGGAGACCATGTCCTCCATTAAAGGTGTCGAAAATGGTGGAGGTTGTGGAAAGGAGGAGGAGGAAGCTTCAATGGAGGATGGAGAAAGGAGGAAGCTTTAATGGAGGATGGAGGAAGGAGGAAGGAGGGAGCTTCAATTCTCCTCCATCATGCCATGGTTCACAAGTTGAACTCCTCTAATCCTTTTCTTTATAAGATGTGGTTTGAGAAGAGTGTTTTGAAATGTAAATAGTCGTTATGAAGTCGAACTTTGTAATACATTTAGAAATTTTATCATGTCACGACATTCTGATTAGAATGAGTTTGAGATTAGGCTTTAAGTCTTGACTCTTGAATACCAGATGAGCGGGGATTGAGAATTATTCAACTATCTAATATATCCATTTTATTATACTCTCTCTATTTTTTAAAACTTTAACAATTTTTCCCTTTTTCCGTGAACATTGAAGAGCAGGAAAAGAGAGTTGAACATTTTATTGTTTTAATTATCTTATTAATTAAATGAATGTCACTAATAATGTTAGGTTTTCATTAATATAACCGCTATCACCATTCTCGATTTTGCTGATACAAAGTGTTTCGTAATCGATTCTACATGAACGGTATATAGGAAATTACGACTTTACGAGTACTTATTACCGACCAATGCAAATGGGGACTTGAATTTGGCTTGCTCCGTAACCAATTTATTTAATCGTTCGAGTATTCCCGCGCCCATTACAGAGTCGCAAAACTCCATATAAACAACTTACAAAACTTTTTGAGTGAAAATAATTGAAAATTAAACCCCCACAAAACCCTTGTTTTCATTTCTCACACTTTCGCCGGGGAAAAAATTCCGGCGAAAACTCCATTAATTTTGCAGCAAATTAATCAATAAAACCCAAATCAGAGAAAACCATTTGAAATTCGCTGCAAATTGTATAGAAAGCAGCAAAAATGAGTACAGTAGACAAGATGCTGATTAAAGGTATCCGGAGTTTCGACCCGGAAAACAAGCATGTCATCACCTTTTTCAAACCCTTAACCTTAATTGTGGGCTCCAATGGCGCCGGAAAAACTGTATATTTCTATTTTATTTTACTTTTTTTTTTGTATTTTTTGGTTACCCATTTTCTTATTTTTGTTGTAATTAACCTTAATTTTTCTGGGGTTTGAATGTAATATTGCTTGGTATTTTTATTTATTAGATTATAGTGGGATGTTTATTTTCTTTTAATATACTGTTTGGTGATTAAATTGAGTTGCTCATTTCTTAATTTAATTATTTATTTATTTATTTTTCATATGTTAGTTGCAAAATGTATAACATGTAGGGATGAAGAAAGTGTGAAGTTTGGCTAATGATGAGTGATAATTTGAAATTTACACTTTGTTTGGATTGAAGGAAATGGAGGGAAGGGAAATAGAGGGATAAATTATCTTTCATTTGGATAACAAATGAGGAAGGAAGGGAATTGGAGAGAGAGAAATGGAGGGAGTAAATTGTAAGAAATTGATCACTCCATCAATGGAGAGATTTGGAAGGAAAACTCATCTTTCTTTCCTCCCCTCCCTTTCTCTTCCCTCCCCTTCACCTCCCTCCCCTTCTTTTCTTTCCTATTTCTTTATCCAAACACACCATTAGAAAGATGATTAATGTACTTGGAATTGTAGGATTACTCTATATTGTTTTGTAATTAGTTTGATTTGGGTGTAGACTGTAATCGAGTGCTTGAAGGTTGCATGCACTGGGGAGTTGCCTCCGAATGCTAGGTCGGGTCAAAGCTTCATTCATGATCCTAAGGTTTCTAATTCTCTGAGCTATATTTATTTTTTGTTTGGTTTGTTTTATTTTGTTGGAGATTGGTGCTAATATTAGGGTTTTGTTTTGTTGGGTATGAATGGTAGGTAGCGGGAGAGACAGAGACAAAAGCGCAAATTAAGCTCCGGTTTAAGACAGCCGCAGGGAAAGATGTTGTGTGTATAAGGTCGTTTCAGTTAACCCAAAAGGCGTCTAAGATGGAGTATAAAGCTATTGAAAGTGTGCTCCAGACTATTAACCCAAATACAGGGGAGGTGAATATATGCTCGTTAATGCTATCATTATGTTGTACGTCATAGATTATTTATCTGCGGCAAATATTGAAACTTGGATGTTGCTAGTATCATTGTTTAGTGACATTTCAACGGCTATATTTTGAAACCTTTGCAGCTTTAGGTGTTGTGCGAATTGCCTTCTTTCATTTGCTGTTTGTTAGGGGTTTGGGTGATGTATAGTTCAATGTGTTTTAACGGTTTATGTTGCATAGCTGATTGTTCATCAGTACATAGTGGTATTTCCCTTTCCTTTTGGACGAAATGGTAGAGTTCTTTGGTAATATATGTCCTCTAGAAGGGATATACATAGCCCTAGAAATCCAGGATATCATTTAGACTTGAATATAAAAGGTGAATTTTATTTATTTGCCAAATATTAAGCCTAAACTTTTGCGCAATGCAACTCTAGCCCATATGCTATGCTCACATGTGTTTATCATATTGTCAATTTGCTGGTAGGAAGGTGCATGTTAGGCATTGTAATCTGTAAGTTCTTACTATTATTTTTATTTTACAAGGAATATAGCTGGTAAAATTGATGTAGGTGCTAGCCTCCCTTTCTTCCCTTGTTATGTTTCAGTCTCCATCATTTGAATTGTTTGTCTGAAGGATGAAGAGACCTCGCAATTAATAGTTTTAGCTCTTACACTACATGCTATTGTGTCTGTGTATTATCTGTAAACTTGTATATGTCTTGCTGAAAAGGAAGAGTAGGTCCTCCACTCACACATTATTCTCTTACTTCCTTTTAGAAAGTTTGTCTCAGCTACAGATGTGCTGATATGGATCGAGAAATCCCTGCACTGATGGGTGTTTCTAAAGCGATTCTAGAAAATGTGATATTTGTGCACCAAGATGAGGCTAACTGGCCATTGCAAGACTCCTCCACTCTGAAAAAAAAATTTGATGATATATTCTCTGCGACCCGGTAAGGCTGTAGTCACTTGGCATTATGATGGTTTATGTGAATTTTTTTGATGTGATTTGGAGCATAATTGTATGCTTTCTTTAATCTTCTTTATAATTAGCAGAGACATTTATGCTTCAACAGGGTAGTGGGAGCTCTATGTTTATGTTATACCAATTGCCATTGTCACTAACAATCTCCGTATCTGTTTCTACTTAGGAGTCATAACAACAGCCTTTTAAGCAAAATTGGTTAAGGCCATTAATTAGATCTAGGCATATGCATGTCTGGAAAGGGTGCACCGGTAGAGGTAGTTGGTAGTTCTGCATAGTAATTAGTAAACATCATGAGGCATGGCTCATAAAAAAAACTTACTATTATGTCATAGCTGGGTTTCTATTTATTGCTGAACTAATGCAATTATAATCATAGAGAAAATAGTGCTGTGAGATGACTTCTTTTATTAACTCATTGGCACCTTGACTTGTTTTCATTATAAGTATAGCCTGAGTTGAGAGTTGTTTTTTTTTGGGTTAAAAGTTGAGAGTTGGATTGAGTTCTTTCAATGTGCTTTGACCAGATACACTAAGGCATTGGAGGTCATCAAGAAGCTCCATAAAGAGCAGGCCCAAGAGATCAAGACATACAAGCTGAAATTAGAGCATCTGCAAACATTAAAAGATTCTGCTTATAAGGTTTTCCTTCTTGTTCTCCTAGGGTCTTAGACATATACTTCCTGCATCTTTTTTGGTCAGTTTCCTGGGTCTTGTATAGTATGAGTGATCTACGTACCATTTATTTGTGAATTATGTGTAAACAGGGGGCATATACCAATGTGTTTGAAGTTAAGTTCACTCTTTCTCTCTTTTCGATATGAACTTCTTTCATTGATTCTCTTCGACCTTATCTTCTTCTCTCTTTTCTAACTGTTTTCTTCTGTCACAAATTTACAATTTTCTATTTCCTCTTTTCCTTTTTTGGATGAGCTTATTCTCCATGTTCTTTCTCCTCTTTGACAGTATGAGGTTTGCTTTTTTTTCTTTTCTTTTCTTTTTTTTTTCCTTTTCTTCCTTTCCATTTTAGCTAACAGATTGACTGGTACCCACCCTCTGTTATATATTTTTTTTTAATTTTATTATTATTTTTTATGTAAAAATCACCTTTTGATTATAGTCATGTGACCCCCTCCCCCCTCCTGATTATTTTTTTTTTTCAATTTTTTAAAACTATTTTTTTGGCCTTTTTTTTTACTCAATTAAAGTTACTCCGTAACACCTTAAAAGAAATAAAATTAGAACAAAAACGATGGACAAAGTTGTGTCTCGTTATCTTGTATACAAAAGGTGCACGGCCTTTGCCTTGCACCTTGGCTCCATTGGCCATCTGCACCTTGTGCGTCTCGCACCATTTAAAACATAAGATTTGCTGTAGATTTAGACAATTTTCCAATTTTGAAACTTTACTCACAATCATTGGATGAAGGTAGCTAGTTGTCATCTATGGTTCTTGGAAGATTGTATGTGTTTTATCTGCTGTAGGTAAAAGAGGAAGGGAGGCTGAGATCAGTCAATGTAAGGGAAAGGTTAAGTACTTTCTCCCTTACCTAGTCCTCCTCCCCCTTCCCCAAAAAATGGTAGGTAAGAGCATGAGGGGAAATGGTGAATGTAATGCACCAGTGTCCAGTCTGGCCACCAGTCATGGGGAGGCTTATGGGATACGTGAGATAGTAGCACTGCAGTACCCATGACTAAGATCAAATGTCTTTTCTCTTCATGTTTATTGGATTTGTTGTCGTATGACTTGTATCTTTGACAGGTGTATACCTTGGAGGTAGTTCAATAATCCTGTTTCTATCCTTCTACTCATTCTTCTAGTCTATTTATATTAAATTATTTATGGTAATGATATGCGCAACATAAGGTCTAACTATAAGCATTAAATTTCATTCCTAATTGGTATTAGTCTAGGAATTTATGACAAACTCACACGTTGATCACTAGTATTAATGCTTACTTTGTGCATGATGTTTAACTTTTTCTAATAGTTATCCCTTAGGGTTGTACATATAATTTTCCTTTGTGTTAAGTTGCAATTTCTTCTACCCATATGCGTCAAATTCCTCTGTTGTAGTTTTGGTGATCTATAGTTATTTGTCTTTAATTGTTGTAGCTGGAAACATTAATGTTTGATTTCCTTGGGATGTTCTGATGGTCTGCGGCCTTGATCATTCTCTGACAGTTACGAGAAAGTATTGCTCAAGATCAGGAAAGAACGGAATTTTTGAAAGTTCAAATGCAGAATTTGGATAAGGAAATTGAAGAGGTTGATGCGAAGATACAATGCACTGAAATTAAGCTAAAAGATCTGCGTAAGCTACAGGATCAGATAACCGAAAAGAGTGCCACAAGAAGTGCTTCATATAAAGAGCAGGAACAAAGGTATCTAGCGCTCAACGAAGAAATTGAAGGTCTGTCACTCTGTTGTGTCTCATTATTTCTTGAGTGTGCTAATTGCATTAACAGTCTGTATTTGAGTATATTGCATTTAATATGGTTTGTATTTCAGAGACTGATGAAGAATTGAAGGAGTGGAAGGAAAAGTTTGATGAAAAAATTTCTCAACAGGACAGGCTAATTGCCAAATTGGTCAGAGAAGGAGATGACTTAGAGAAAACAAGTAATATCCTTAGCAAAAAAATTACTGAGTATCTTGTAGAGATAAGCAAACTTCAAAGTGCAGCAGATGTAAGTCTACCGTATATATTATTAAAAGTAAATTTCACAAGGTAACCCTGTTTTTAACAAGGTGCCAGCTGGGACCTTTGGTCCATAGTGTTTATGCATGGAGCATGCCTCAGAATGTCCTATATATCAACTCCCTACACTGCATTGACATGATGGAGTTTTCCATTCTAACTATTTATAAAATAATTCAAAGTTAAATTTCTATGTAATTCACTGTCCTAGACTCTTAAATAAAATTGCATTTACATTTCTTGGATTATTTTATGAAGCGTTGATGAGGGCAGGTTTATAACTATCTCACTCTATCATCTGGGGTTGTGCGATCAGTATCATGGTTGTGGACTTTTTTTTTTGGGGGGGAGGGGAGGGGGGGGGGATCAACTCTTGTGGGCATTGACTTGAGATAGGGCCACATAAAGCATAAGATCCCACCTCCCATCTCCCAAAAAAAATGTAAATAAAAATCCTGACATTTATACTCTTATTTCAGAGTAGCCTATTTATTATTTAAAATTTTCATTGTTGTAAAGCCTAGATATTATGAATAGGATATGAGTCAATAGACTGAGCAGGGAATGAATGAGGTTTTTTTTTTTGTTTTTTTGTTTTTTTTTTTTTTTTTTTTTTTGAATTAGGGGGAGTGCCAGTAGTTATTGCTTTAGATCCTGTTGAGGGTTGTGATAGTCAATTGATTTTTTTAATTTTTATTTTATTTTTTTCACATGAACATCCCAAAACCACGGGGAGCTACCTTGTGTGATTTATCTAAAATTGTATTTGTTGCCTGTTTCTTTTTCTTTATTATTTACAATTATTGGATGTTTTTTCCTTTTGGCTCCAGGCTCATACTGAGCTAAAGAATGACAGGGACTCCATGATCAAAGAGCTCTATTCTATGCACAATTTGGGATCCCTTACAAATGGTCCTTTCAGTGATGAAACAGCTTTGAGTTGTACAAGTTATATAAATGAGAGGATACTTGACTTGGAGAAGGATTTAAATGAGAAGAAGGTCAGTTTTACCTTTTCTATGATTTTGTAAATAATCTTTGGGCTTTCTGATGCTTGCGATGTGCAAAAGCATATGTTCTCAGATTTGTATTTCCATTGGATTTTAAAGTTAACGATATGCTTACTTATTGGTGGGCTTGCTCACTAAAATAAGTTTCATGAGTCTGGTCATCACCAATTATTACAACCCTTTCTCAGTTGGTGTAGAACTAAGTAGGGAGAAAAAATGACCAGATTCTACACCATGGACAGAGAAAGATTTAATGGGAAGGGAAGAAGAAAGAGGCAAGATTGTTGATGGTCATGGTAGATTGGTAGTAGGAGTATAAAAGGATAGATGTGGAAATAATAGGAGAAAGATGAGGTGTTGATTACTTGGGAGAAGGGATGTTATATTTTCTCCTGGTAATGGAGTACTGGAGTGGAGTACACTCAACTTTATCCCCTCTTTAACCCTGCTCTTCCTCTCTAGAATACCGGAGAATCAGCTGCTCTGTATATGGAGTATATTATCATGTTTGTACTTTTTATACTTATCTACGAACCTCCTTGCCATTTTTACACCATCTTTTTATGGCTTGTAAAATATTTAACTGAGATTGTTACAGAAATCAAATGAAACTGAAATTAAAGCAGCACTGGATTCCTATAACGATGCTAATAACAGTCTGAAGAATCTTGAAGCTAAAAGGAGGGCCAATGCGGACTATAAGGTTGTTACAATTCTTTTTTGTTTGTTTGTTTATTTATTTATTTTTATTTTTTATTTTTAAATAAACAATCTGCTTAATTTCATTCATGTCCACATAATATTAAGTGTCATGTCTTCTGGATTATTCCTTACAGAATAAGATTTTGAAACGCATTAAAGAAAAAGAGAGTGAACGTAAGACATATGAAGATCAGCTATCTGGATTTGATCTCCCTCGCTTAGATGAAAGAGAGAGGCACACGGTATTATATTTGTTTATGGCTTTCTTCTATGATGTTTCCCCTGCTTGATTACTACTTCTTATACCATTATGCTTCATAATTTGTTTGCTTCAGAATCTCGAGTTGGAGAGGAAGACAAAACAACTTGCTGAAAGAGATTTTGATTCTATTATAATGCAAAAGCAAAGTGAAATCTTCAACTTGAACAGTAAGATTAAATCTCTGAATCGTGAGAGAGATATCTTGGCTGGTGATTCTGAGAATAGAGTAAAGTTGGCTATGAAGAAATCAGAGATAGAAAATCACAAGAAAAAGTTAAACAAAATGTCAGTTTACAAGCTCTGGAGTTGTTCAATTTTCGTGTATTTGTTGAGGGTAGTTTTTTTTTTTAAACTCCTGTGCTGCCTGATATATCTTCAAACTGACGTATTATGCTCTATTTCTAGAATGGATGAGCACAAGGATAAGATTAGAGGAGTACTAAAAGGGAGACTCCCACCAGAGAAGGATTTGAGATGTGAAATTCTCAAGGCTAAAAGGTTATTTTCAAGCTTTTGAAGATCTACTTTGATCTTTTTCTTTTTTTATATGTCTTGATTTTGCTTCACACTAAGTCACGATTTAAATGATATAGGGGTTTATTGTTTATTGAGAGCTTCCTAAATCATGATCTATCTCTATTAGATAACTGAAGGAGGAGGTGGTGGTGCCCCCATAAACTGCCAAGTTATCTTTACTTTTAATTAGTTCTAAAATAATCAACAATATAGAACCCCGACATATATGGATTCAACTAGAATAGGTCCCGTGCCATGCACGGTAGCCTTACTACAATAATTATAAAAAAAAATATGGACAAAATACAAATATAACACACTTTGTGTTTATTTTCTTCTTATTTTGCATTCACAATGAAATTAAACATGGAAAATAACGAAAGGGTTGATTTGACCGCGTGTATATAAAAAAAACTACATCTTAGACCAAAACGAATGGACTTAGTCTTAGACGGTGTATATATACCTGGTGGAGCAATAACATAATAAAGCGTTACATCTCTAAATTCTATTAGAGTATCATTTTCCTTTTATTTACCAAATAAGTATTTAAAAATATGTATTACACCCAACCGTAGGTATAATAACCCAGTTTTAATGGTATTTGGTCTAAATTTTTTCCCTAACAAAATATAATAATATAAAAAATTGGAGATAAAAACTAAAAAAAGGATGAAATTTTAATGAATCAAATTGTCTTACTCCGTACATGATTTCATGCGTACTCCATTTGTTTTTTTATATTTTTCGTATTAGAATTATGCAAGAAACCAATTAAACCATTTTTAAAATACCAAATTTCCATTTCAAAATTAAAAAACTATTGAGAAGATAAAAATTATACCGGAGCATAAATTATATATTGTGCATTTATTAAATTTTGTGATAGTGGAAAACATATTTAATAGATACATAAATAGCTAATGGAGATTAAAGAAAAAAGAATAATGTTATTAAAAAAAAAAAAAAGAATAATGTTATAATTATTATAATTATATGATTTGGTGAATATTTTGTGTATAACCTATAATAGGTAATTAATGGCATTGACTAAAAAAAAAGGAAAAAAAAGTGAAAAGGGGTTTTGGTTTCAGTATTATAATAATATTGATTAAAAGGCCAAATTGTCAACTTTTCTTAATTGTAGAGCGAATCAAAAACATAATTGATGCTTTATAAACAAACAAACATAAGGAAATAACTTCTATTTAATAAAAATAATTTAAGGAATTTGGTCAAATCAAGCAAAAATTATAAGCATAAGAAGGGGAAAAAAAACCCCTCTTTAGCTGATTCCTTTTCCTATTTTTTTTTATTTTTTTTTTTTTGAAATGATCTATAAATGCCAAATTGTCTCAGTGATAACCTAAAGTTTCTTCCTCTCAGGCCTCTGCCATATGATTATTTATTTCAATTATAAAGTAAGTTTTTAAAGATTGTTTATGTCAAATTTTAAAATTTTGGTTTATTGTTGTATTGTTAATCAATTTGAACTGTTAAAGTAGTGAATTTTAAAAATTAAAGCACACAATACAATGACACATGCATGTAAGGCTAGTGTAGTATTAGGAAATAAACTAACAATTGTGATATTGATACATAGTATTATTACGATGGTTTGCTTGGGTGTATTTTCCCCAATTTTAATTAGTACTTCCTGCGTCCCTTAATTAATAGCCTGTATTCCTTTTTGGGGAGCACAAAATTAAGAGCCTATTTCTATTTTAAGGTTTACTTTTTGAAAGTATTCCCCTTTTTTTTATGAGTTGTCATCCTTTTTTTGTACTAATAATGACTTTTTACATCAATTCCCAAGACTTTCTCTCCCTTTCTTCAATAATTCCCAACCACTTTGTTTTCTCTCTATCTCTCTCTAACCCCACATGCACACATATATTCCCAATCAACTTTCTTAATTCCCATGATAAAAACCCAAATAGGCTCTTAATTAAGGGACAGAGGGAGTAATGAAGAATTATATAAGAAAGACACTATGATGACACATGCAAAGTGAGGGATAAGAAATTTTAGTGTATTGATTAGAGTTTGAAAAATGACTCCAACTATACAAATGTTTCGACATGAGGAACTTGAAAGTCTCAAGTAAGGAAGCTATATCCTTAAAAAAATCTGTTTGCTTATTTCTAAGCGCACCGCCAAATTGACAATGGAACTAATTAAGGAGTGCATACTGACATCCTTTTTTGTTTTGTCTATGGTGACTGGTGAAAAATGATATGACTTTCTACACTTTTATATATTCTAACTTTGACTACAATGAGTCAATGATAAAGGTCCTTATTTTAATTGTTATATGTAATCAAAGATATAGAAGGTCAAAGTAAGTTTATAAACATTGTAAAAAGTCAAAATAGTGAAAATCTATTGAGAAATGGAAGAATTAGATTCATTGGTACTTCTCGTGGAAGTTTTCTTGGGGTAATCTTTGGATGAAGTATATTTTTATTACTATATTGAGTCCGTTTATGAAAATTATAACATTTGTGTTCTGTACACAAAAAAAGGTAAGTGGAAAGAGAGTGATGATGTAGTGAGTGGGGGCAAGAAAAGGCAGATAAAGGGAGAGAATGTTAAAAAGTGGGTGGGTGTAAAAAAAAGTTGAATAAAGAGAGTGACTGAAACGTGGTAAATATTGTGGGTTAAAAGAAGGAAAGGTAAGAAAATAGGTTTACCAAAAATGGAATAAAGTGAAAGTGTTGAAAACTTTCGGACATGGAGAAAATCTTTAAATTTTCATTATATGTGCAGTTCTACAAGCAGCGAGTTTGATGACCTTATCCCCAAGTCCCGCGAAGTTGAAAACGAAGTTTCCTTGTTGCAGTTGAAGATCAAAGAAGTCCGCAATAACTTAAATAAATTTCAAAGAGATATGAACTGTAAGTTTGATTTTTAATCTCATGGAGTAGCTAAATGTTGTAGTTGCTTGGGACATGATTTTTGGGTCAAATGGGACTTTTGTTTGGGTATGAAGAGAGTGTCATCAATACTCTATGTTCGCCGAGCTAGGAATGCTGTAACTATGGTGTGTAAATGAGCTATTTTTTTTTTGTGAATTCCATTTCATTTCCTGTTATGATACAAAGTGCAATATGCACCCTTCATGTACAAATTATAATCCTCCACCCCACCCCACTCCTTTGGTATTTGGCAATTTCATTTGCCTTATACCTGTAAGCCACGTTAGCCCCTGTCTTCAAAGATTTTATGCTTGAATGCTGGCGTTTCCTGTCTCGTGTTAGAATTGTCTCATCCTGAACAATGTTTGTGTGTAAGAAGTATACTAATCATAACCGTGTTGATGGAGAAATGCATTTTATTGTTGCTAATTCATCTGAATATTTCAAAGATATATGCACTTATTTTGATTGTTTATCTTATTCACCTAACTCTTCATCTAAATGCCTCTCCATGTATATTTTCAGCTAGGAAGAAGTTCATTGAGTCAAAACTTCAATCACTGGATCAGCAACTTTTTGGTGTTGATTCCTATCTGCTAGCGTTGAATAAGGCCAAAGAGAAAAGAGATGCTCTGAGAAGGTTCTGGACATCTTATGTTCTTTAGAAGCAGGCATGGCCTTTCGTTTATGTACTAATTATTCTGACTAACTTGATGCAGTAAATGCGATATGGAAGAGGGTATGCGCAAAATGTTTGTTCCGTTTGAATTTACTGCTCGAAACCATCATATTTGTCCTTGTTGTGCACGTCCTTTTTCTGCTGAAGAGGAGGATGAATTTGTCAAGAAGGTAGGATATTTACTAGTGTTTACTGAAGGTTTCATCAAGGATTTAATGTTGTAAGCTCTCTTCAATCACTTGGGTAAGATTGCATGCATTTGACCCCTTATATCGCTGTGGGCCGGAGCCGAAAGCCTTATGAGAGAGACTTGGGTTTTGATCTCTTCACTTCATTCCTATTACCTTTTACTTGTTAAAAATCATACCACAACCATACCACTAAAATTCAGACCAGACCAAACAAAAATCTCTTACTACATATTTATATTTTCTTATTGCCATATATCTTTAGTTTCATATTTGTAAAAATTATGAAAATTAGATATTTTATTATAGACTTTAAGGTGAATCTAACAAGAACCTAAATTGCTTTTTTTTATTCATTAACGTACAACTAAGGTCTATGTTCAGTCAAATCAGAGAACTAGTCTAGACCAGACTAGACCAGAAATTTCAAATCAGACCAAACCAGACCAAAAAAAATTCAAACCAGACCAGACTGTAGAAATTTCAAACCTGAACACCTTATTTCAAGTGAAGAGAACAAATTCTTGATTAATAATTGTGAGTAATGGTGTGATATGATATAGTCAGAAGCCTGCTTTACTAATTAATTGATCTTGTAAGCCTTGTGATCTCTACAATGTCTTTTTGTTATTTTACAATATGGATTATTTTGGTTGATGATCAGCAAAAGGAAAGTATGGCCACTACTGGAGAGCGTATGAAGGAGGTGGAAGCAGAAGCTGCGAGTGCTGATTCCATTTTTCAGCAGTTGTACAGCCTCCGAGCAGCGTATGATGAGTATTCTAAATTTAAAGAAGAGGCAATACCGCAAGCAGAGGCGGAGCTAGCTAATTTAAATGAAGAGTTGGATCAGAAGGCGCAGGCACTCGATGATGTAATATTTTGGACTTGTGTTCTCTTATCTTCTAGCAATTACATTAGCTGTGTGTGTGAGTGTGTGTGTGTGCCATCATGCCTGCTAGATTTGTTCACGATACTTGTCTACTAAATGATTCCAAGATATTCACCTGAAATATTTCATTGTAGGTCTTTCACATTGTGATCATATCTGAGTTTAGTGGTGGATCATTACTAAGGCTTGTTGCTTAATCTTATGTACTTTCGTTTGAATCCTGATGTTCTCTTGACATCTCCTGCTGAGTTACAGTGGTGACATTAAGTTTTGTTCAATGTGGAAAATAAGTTCTAAAGTTCCATCTTTGCCTTTTCTCAGGTTTAACTGCTATAAAAATCAAGACTGTGTTATGATGTTAGTCCTGATAATCCATGGTTCTTTAGTCTTATACTACACTATTTATTGTTTCATGTAGATTTCATGTATAGTTGCCCAAGTAAAGGCTGACAAGGATTCAGTTGAAGCCTTGGTATCACCTGTGGAGACAGTGGACAGGCATTTCCAAGAGATCCAGACCTTAAAAAGTCAAGTCGTTACATTGGAAGACATGCTTGATTATCGAGGGCTGGACATTCGATCTATGGAAGACATCAAGTCAGAGCTCAATGATCTGCAGAACAAAAAGTATATATTATCCTGATAGTTTTCTTATTTTGTATATGTTTTAGCTTGATATGTTTCTCTTTTCCTCTTCTGAGATATAAAATCCTCGTCACATGTGCTTTTACCTTTGAGCAATATATAGAGATATGAAGATGGCTTTAGCTTCTAACTTCGTACTGATGTTGAAGTCATGTATTTATTCTTAACTTTTTTCTTGCTGAATCTACATGTTTATTGTCTTACCTGTGCAGTGTGCCAGTCTCGTTTGGGGCTTGAGTGTGTGAACTAAGCTCTTTCACTTGCCTGGTTGACAAGTGTCCTCTTTTCTCTCTCATTTTTATTTTACTTAAGTAGATTGGGCATATTTCTAGCAGTTCATATGAAATAGCAATATAGGCACTTTGACTGTAATTGTAGACAACTTCACTGTTTTTGTAACACCATTTTCCTCCCATTTTTGTCTCATTTCAATGTGGCTCATTTTCTATGCTATGTAGGGATAAATTGCAAGATGATATCGAGAAGTTAAGAGAAGAACAAAAGTATTTGGCGGATGATTCAAACAGTACCACCCTTCGGTTGTACTCAGTTAGGGAGGAGAAAATGAAAGCTGTTGCTGTACTGAATAATTTTAATAAAGTGGAAGATGAGCTTCAAAGTTTGATGGAGGAGAAAAGTCAAGTGGAGCTTGAGGAGAAGGTAACCTATAGAATTGATGGTATTGGTCAAATTAGCATTAATGCACAGCTTTCGATTGAATCTTGCATTGTCTAATCTGCAATGCCTCTTGCTTTACCCCAAAATGCTGTTTTCTTGAATTTTTATTGAATCTTTGATGCAGATGAAACCAGCAATTGTTGATTTGTTGGTCCAACAAAATTGTTAACCTTGCTATGAAAAATGTGTAAATGAAACAGGTGGGCAAATCTTAGGCGAGATTAACACGACAGAAAGGAGCATAAGGCTAAAACGAATAAAATATAATTACAAAAGCTGAATTTGATTATTGGAATTGAATACTAACAGTCTTTGGAGACTATTAGTTGATAGTTAAATTTCATTTTGGAGATTCGACCGCTGATCTTGTTTAATGTAATTTTGTTAACAAAGTTGTTGGGATTATAGTTGTATTATTCTGTTGTTAAATTGTCTTTCTTAGCCTCTAAATTCTGCTGAAACAAGTTCGTCACATAAGAGAAGTGTGATGCGCTGCCCTGATTTTAATTTTTACTTAGTTGTTGGCTTCTTGCTCCATGATCATCCCTCCACTCCTTTGGCACCCCTTAATTGGGACTTTGATAGTTGTCGAAAAAATCTCTAATCAAAATCAGAAGGCAGAGCTGCTAAAATTAGGTGAATTACAACACTAATAACAGAGTAGCATGATGTAGTTCATAGGGTTCGTGGCACAGAAGCCATTTTTTGTCCTTTTTAAACAACAATATCCTCCTATTGAACTGATGTGCTCTCAGACTACAACACTCCAAAACAAACGGAGCACAATCAAGAGATTCAGACTTATTCTCTATCTTTCCTGTAAAGCCTTGTGTAATTGGTATATTTTACCTTGTAAATTTCATTTAAGCATATGAATTTAATCTAAAATTGATCAAACCTAAGTTACTCAAGCTCGGGTACCCATGTCCAACACGAGTATGTGTCCATTTATCCGACTTGGCTGTTATGCGAAATTATTCCACTTCCACAATTTAGGTCCAAAATGAAGGATCTAAGTGTCCTATATGTCTGGGTGTCGAGGATTTGACAAAGGTACTTGAGGTAAAAATGAAGAGTCCGAGTATCATAGGATCAAACCATTTAAACTTGATGTTCTTTGTTTTATCTGAAGTGCCGTTACTTTTGAATCTTTATTGGTTTATCCGTTATTCATCGGATATATTCAATTTAAATTTAAGAATTGAGTAGCATGATTTTTTAAGATTGATATGGCAGAACATTTGGTCTATTGTTGATATTAGGATTATTTTCATTGTATCTGGATTTTTTAGGACACGTCATAAGGAACTCAACAGATACATATATTGATAGCACTATTCTAGCTCCATTTTGTTATTGAATATTTTGAAGTGAGGTTCATTTATGTACACAACAATTTTGTGATTGGTATTATTGTTGGTTGATCAATTGTAGTTCCTTTTATTTGTGTTCGATGTTTATTGATTAAACAATGTAAAAGCAGAATAATGTGTATTTATCTTTGAATATGATATTGATGAGTTGAAGTTAATTTCTTTTCATAATTGCAGCAACATGATGAGGTTATTAATCCTTTAGCCAAGGAGACATTGAAATTGTTAAGTGATTACAATGCTCTTAAAAAAAAAACTTGATTGTGAATATGAGAGGCAAGCTGATCTATGGAGAAGTCAACAGCAGCAGCTCAAAGACCTTCTCAAACTTAACTCCAAGATAGAAGAGTATGCAACTCAATCATGCCTTTGGTCATTTGGTTGTCCTTTCTTGTGCTCTTGACTTCTTTCCATGTGAGTTTTTTTTATAACATTCTGCTGGCAGGTATGATGAGACTAAGAAAGCAGAGCGCTTAAAGGAACTACAAGTAAGAAAGTCACAATCAGAATCCCAGCTTGAGAACTCTGGTCAAAAGAAGAAAAAAATATCTGATGAACTGGAAAGTGCACGTGAAATTAAGAAGAACCAAGAGTTACTGAGACATAATATTGATGACAACATTATATATCGAGAGGCAAAAGCCAGAGTAGATGAGCTTACTCGTGACCTTGAGTTGCTGGAGCAGAGACTAGTAGAGATTGGTAGTGCTGAGATAATTGAGTCTGAACTATTTAAGTTAGGCAAAGAAAGAGATAGGCTTCTGTCTGAGGTATTCTCAGTCTCATTCATCAGTTTAACTACATTAATAAATCATTCTGTTGCTTGATTCTTGTGATACCTGATTGCATTTCAAGTTACTAAAATATAGGCAGATGCTATGTTACTACTAGTGGTGTTATGGTTCTGTGTATGTGTCATACTATCAGCTACAAGTCATATCTGATATCACCTACTTTTATCAGATGTCAGGCTACAATTATTTCAATTGGTTGGAAATTTTGATGTGCATTTTGATTATGCACTAAGTTGGTGGTTGTTTACCAAAGCATCTTTGCTAGATGCAATCCAAGTATCCAACATGTATCTGCTGAATCTGAAGCATTGATTTGTATTATGATGATCAAGCATTAGGGCCTTTTATTCTGTTTTTATTTTGTTGCGTTTGGGGAAAGTAATTTCTGTTTCACTTACCTGCCACTCCCTCTGCTTCATACGTATGACTACTTTCATATATTCTGCATGGATTCCTACCTTTTTATAGCACTCCCTTTGCCAGCTTGGAAGCCATATTTTCGTGCCTTTCTTGGAATATGTTTTGTTTTTGTTTTTTTATTTTTTTTTATTTTTTATGCTTGAAATCTGTCTAAAAATGTGATATATCTTGTCATGTATGCTTCTACACAATTACAAATAAAAATCCTCTGGGTTAGTTGAGTAGCGATAAAAAGCTGCAGATATTTACAAAATCTATAACTTCTGTAATGTCTGTAGTTGAATAGGTTTCATGGAACAATGTCCGTGTATGAGAGCAACATATCAAAAAACAAGATTGATCTTAAACAACCACAATACAAGGATATAGACAAACACCACTTTGACCAATTAATCCAGCTGAAGGTAACTTTCACACAGCTTTTACATCCTTTCTTTAAGCTAATTTCATTATATTATTGACTGGTGTCTGATTTTACAGACTACAGAAATGGCAAACAAAGACCTTGATAGATACTACAACGCTCTTGACAAGTAAGTACTCCCTCATAAATCTAGAGAACAGTACAATTTATCTGGAAGTTAAGCCTTTGTTTCATGTTTTCAGAATTTATGTACTTCCAGTATATAATGTAGGTTCTTTTTTTTTTTTTCCTTTTTCTTTTGGCATCTTCTTTGTTTGACACTGTTGCTACATGCCATTGTGATTAATTTTTTTCCCCTGAAGATGTAATATGTTTGCGATTAACTAGTGTACAAGTCTATAATGTTTTGACCTCAGTTTTGTATTGGGCGAACTGAGAAGTCTCGTATTTCTGTGTTGATATTACTGTCAGGCCTTGAATACTTTGTTCAGCACTTGTAGTCATAAAGCTTTGCCCTCTTATACCACACATTTTATCGCTTTACGGGCTTTATGTGCTAGTTGCTAATGTTGAACATGGCTTCTTATGTTGGGTTTACCTTCCTTCAGGGCCCTGATGCGTTTTCACACTATGAAAATGGAAGAAATAAATAGAATTATTCGCGAAATCTGGCAGCAAACATACAGAGGCCAGGACATTGATTACATATACATACATTCTGATTCTGAGGGTGCTGGAACTAGATCTTACAGTTATAAGGTAATATCATATTCTTGACTACGTAATATTTTATCATTAAGTTTGTTGCTTCACAGCAGCTCTTAACATCAGTGGATATATTTATTAATTGTCCGTGATTTCTGTTTCAGGTGCTCATGCAGACAGGTGATGCTGAGCTTGAAATGCGAGGAAGGTGCAGTGCTGGCCAGAAGGTGAAGCAGTCTATTAAAGCCTGCGTGTCATAGAGATAAATTCTACATTTACTTTCTTTTCCATTTATACTTGTATGTTATTTCTGACATTCTCATTCCATGGCATCTGCATCTCAAGGTTCTTGCTTCACTTATTATAAGGTTGGCCTTGGCAGAAACCTTTTGCCTCCACTGTGGAATCTTAGCACTCGATGAGCCAACAACAAACTTGGACGGCCCAAATTCTGAGAGTTTGGCTGCTGCTCTTCTTAGGTATGCGTAGTATTTGCAGAGGTTCATACCTATTACTAATTAAATTCTAAACATCTTAGTTTTGGGTCATTCTCTTCAGAATCATGGAGGACAGAAAAGGCCAGGAGAATTTTCAGTTAATTGTCATCACTCATGATGAACGGTTTGCTCAACTAATTGGTCAACGGCAGCATGCAGAGAAATATTACCGGGTTTACAAAGATGAACAGTAAGGACCTGCATATTTCCTTGCAACCTTATGCTATTTTCCCTGTTACACTATGGTGGTCTGCTGGCCACCGTCGATTCCTCTAATGATTGGTTTAAGGTGGCCTGTGCCAGTTGTAGTGGTGGTTGGCTGAGGCTGGGATGAGGGATTCTTTTAAAAAAAAAAAAAAAAAAAAAAAAAAATCCTGTATTTCTTATAACAAATTTAGCTTTTCGACTTTCTTTAGGAAACTATCTATAGTAACCTTATACTTAAAGATCAATCAACAAAGCCTTAATCAAACAAGTGGGGTCTGCCACATGAACCAAAATAATTATTCCGTATAGTCATCCACAAAAATCTTCCTCCATCCCTTACGATCAAATACCTCATTCTCCCGTAAATCCATAAGCTTCATATCCTTCCTAACTCCTTCCAATATTTCTCAAAATTTCTAATCAACCCTAATTTTGTAAAATTTCTTAAATCACCTTTGTTTGAAATCTGAAATGTGAGTTTATGTGTTTGATTTTGGTTGTAGTGAAATTTTATTGACATTTTTCTCCAATACGTTAAAAGAATATGTATTTTACTCCCATGTTTTTCTTTTTTTCTTTTTTTTTTTTTTAATTACTTGCTACTCTTTTAAAGCTTGGAAAATTTGCCAAATACAACCAGCAAAGGTACCCATTATGCGAGTTACAACGTTTTAAAAATATTTTTGCAAAATATAACCTAAAAAGTAAACACACCTAACATTTAAAACTACAACCAAGAATTGTATTCTGACCATTTTATTGGGAATGTGATGTCATTTAATAGTCATGAAACAACTTATGTTAACTATCTTCCCCACAATACAACTTATGTTTCCAATAACTTGGTTATTAATGACATCACATTCGCGTTTAAATGGCCAAAACCCGGTTCTTGGTTGTAATTTTAGAGGTTGTGTTTTTTAGGTTTTATTCTGCAAAAATAGATCTAAAAGGTTGTAACCCGCAAAATGGTTACTTTTGCTAGTTGTATTTGGCAAAATTTTCCTTAAAACCCTTAAATTTTATTTGTACATACATTATTTTTGTTGTTTCTCACTTTACACTATGATTCATTTTAGCCGACCCCAAATCGTTTTGGGGCTGTTGTTGTTATGCTGTCAATAGTACAGTTATTAGGAGAAAATTCTCTACAGCAGAGTCAATTTGAAAATCTCAAATAAGTCAGGGCCGTGTTCAGGAATGGCTCTAATATACAGAAATACCATTAATTCTGGCATAGTTTCTTCATTGTGATTTTACTGTATGGGCTGTGATTTATTTAGCATATTTTCTTCTTTTTTATTTTTTATTTATTTATTTGCATGTATGTTCAAATTGGGTTTGCAAAAGAAGGTGACATGAATAAAATGGGCTTGCAAGAGCATGTAACACTTGGTAGAAGCGAATAGAGAAGAGGATCTTTGTGGATTAACATAGGAGAGATTAATTATTTGTCCATGCAGCCGACCCCATCATTTTGAGAAGGCTTTGCATTTGTGTGTGTGTATGCATATTGTTTGTTAGTAAAAATTGATGGTGTATATCCTTTTTGAAAAAATAAAATAATTTTTTCATTCTTTCTCTGCAGTCAACATAGCATAATTTCTGCTCAGGAAATCTTTGATTGAAGTTCCTCAAGGTGCTTCATTGGTCTCCATTCAGTTTACCCTTTCCACCAGCCTATATTGAATGTTTCATCACTTGGTTTGAGGTGACTGATTCTGTACATCCTGCCTCATCAACCTTCTGATCTCTCTTTTAAAGAAGTGAATACTTCACTTGTCTGCACATTTAAATCACTTACGTGGATCATGTTTACGTTATGTATTGTCATTCTCATAGTATAGCAGAATATGAAGTGTATGAGCTGAAATATTGGTAGGTGTTTGTGGTTGACTATCAGTATACAACTAGGCTTCATTTGAATAGAGTTTGAAATGAGAGGAATGTGTGCTGTGTCCATTAAAACAAGTTGCTACATTAACACAGAAAGTCGCTTTGTAATATCTGCCTGATTTTTACCGTACAGAGTATATTTTTTGGTTTGAGCTATTCTCGATAATTATTGAATTGTTTCATAATCACTATGCTTCCTAACTGAAATGTTTGATTACCTTGAAGAGTCGACATGAGAAGTTTATTTGGCAAAATTCTGCCTTTTGTTTGGCAGATTCTAGCCCCTGTTAGGCTGTTACTCTTGACTGAGCCATTTACTCGGAAAATTTTATTCAAGTAGCCTAGCGTAATTAGTTGTTAAAGTTCCTCCTAAGTGCGTTACAATAGAAACCTTATTCAGCTGGTAGTTGCCTGTATGAGTAAAGGTAAATGTCTAAATGGTGTAAATGTGTGCTTCAGAGTACAGTATGGAATTTATAGAAACTGAAGAAGAGTCTGTATTTGATTCTTGTTGATAAATAATGTAGTAATTTGCCTGCTATGGCTTGTTAATATTGAAACCTGAAACATCTGAGAAGATAGTCACACCAGCAGCTCACATAGCATCATTAGTTTAAACCATCGACTAATGACAACCTTTTTCCTTCACAGGATGAAGTAATTTAATTGAAACACACATTTCTAGTGTACTCGTTAAAAACTAAACAGCATAAGTCATCGCCTTGAAAATTGGTGAAACATTGTGTGCTGCTGAAACCTAATAGTGAACATGTTATACCAGTATTATAACATTATCGATTAATATTGATTGAATCATCATAATAGCTTGTTTTACAAGAGTCCCATACAAGACATCAATTGACAGATCGATCTGGTACTAGTAGTTATGGAGTATTTGTAGTTGCTTGCTAAAATAAGCAAGCATCAAATTTCATCCAAGAGGATTGGCATTACAGTATTAAGAACGTGGGAGGGCGGCATTCAACCTTGGCCATCAAATTAATTTGATAAAGCATGGGTGTAAATAGGAAAAGAAAAGGCAATTTTACAATGTTTATTTCATATAAATTTCACCTCCAAATGAAAAACTGCTTGATTAATTTCCATAGAGAAAAAAGAAAAGAAAAAATAACTACTGAACTCACTGAAATGTAAAAATTCCAGAACTATTTTCTTTGGATCAAATTTCCTAATATACTGAAAAGCACAATTTGCTTTCTTCCACTGAGACAGCATAACATTGGAGGCTTCGCTCAGGGAGAAAACTGAAGTGATCCCGATTACCATTACATGAAAATACTTAGTCCTTGTACTTCAACTCGGACTTCAAGAAGCCAGGCATGTCATATGAAGATGAAAACTTCTCGACGTCAGCCTTGAGTTGTTCAATCTCCTTGTTGTTCACTAGACCTTTGTTGAAGTCCTTGAGGAGCTTACCATACTCCTTTTGGATGTTCAAAGTGATGGTGACGGCCCTGTGAAGGAACTCACCAATCTGCTCGAAATCTTTCTCCAAGAGTCCTCTTGAAGTCATGGCAGGAGCACCTACCAAACACGCAATTATAGTTATACATCATTCCTAAGCGGGAAAATTAAGGAGCAGTGTGGAATTACAAGCGCACGATTCCTAAATTAAGAGATGCAGCCCATTGTGGTGGATATAAGTCAAAAAGTTGGAGAATTTTTTATACAAACTAAAAATTATTTATTTCATGTCAGTCAAACAAATGCAGCCAGGTTGAAAAATTCCCGATCCCATAATCTTGTACAGTTGTACGTGATAACTAATGAAAGTACAGATGCATTGTAAACCAGGCATTAGGAAAATCTAAGCCGACATACAATCACCTCAGGACAAAAAAGTAATAAATCTTATCGTGGAGGCACTTACTTCATACGGAGTATTAGAAAGCATAGCAAGCTACACATTCTATTGGCCAATTTTCCATGAGTTCAAGTTACATGCATTGCACCAAGAAGTCAAAATAATCCTATTAGTCTAATACTTGGTACAAAGAAGCAACACTCCTTTCATTCCAAGTAATTTAAACACTTGAAACAAATTTTCTCGTTCAATATTATCTGTCACTAGGTCACAAAAGTACCAATACGCTAAACCAATTCACTATTAAGTGTTAGTTTTGAGTTTCAAATTTTCATTGCTATAGGTCGCATAAGTACCAACACGCTATAATATGTTCAATTAATATACCAATGCAGTGATGCACTATTACTTGTGTTGGTTTTAAGTTTCAAACTTTCAATGCAATAACTAAAACTATTTTGTGCATAACTGCAGGGACAATAGTTAATACAAAGTACATAAAATGGAATATCCATACCAATTCGTACACCTCCGGGAGCCAAAGCACTGCTGTCACCAAACACAGCATTCTTGTTAACAGTGATGTTGCAGAGATCGCAGAGCTTCTCCACCTTGTTTCCTGCCAAAATATTCAGAATAACTCAATGCTTTGAATATCTATCTTCCAAAGATGCACATTGTAGTAAAGAATGCAGCAATAGGGATGCCAAATGGTTCGTCTTGAAGTTACCTGTCAATCCAAGTGGGCGAAGATCCCAGAGAACAAGATGGTTCTCAGTTCCCCCGGTAACAATGCTGTATCCCTTGCTCATAAGATAGTTTCCAATTGCAACAGCATTTGCCCTCACTTGCTTGGCATAAGCCTTGAACCCAGGAGACATGGCTTGCTTAAGAGCAACAGCCAAGGCACCAATTTGGTGGTTGTGAGGACCACCTTGCAGAGAAGGGAAAACAGCAAAGTTGATCTTGTCCTCAAAGTCGTAAACAGCATCCTCAGGTTGGCCCTTCTTTGGTGGTTTTGGGCCTTTACGGTAGAAAATCATTCCAGCCCTTGGACCCCTAAGACTCTTGTGAGTAGTGGTGGTGACAATATCACAGTAATCAAAGGGACTTGCAGCTTCCTGCAATCAAAACACGAGCAAAAAATCAGAGATCAGCTATGCAAGGATATTAATTTCATACAACCATATCTCGCCTTAACCAGTTTCTTCAAGGATAGTATTCCAAACCTCTTTAACAATCAAATTTATCAATAATAACATCTTATATAACCCACACTATCCATCTAACTAAACAATAATCGCCTTACAAGTTAAAACAGATAGATAATGAGATGATTAAAAAACAAAATGCTAATTATATACACAGTATTACATTGTAGTAAAGCTAATCGGAGAAGATTTGCACATTGGAGAAGCAAAATCAAAACACATATACTGATATACATCATACATTCCTTCTCATCACCGTCAATTCCTCAAAATTATTATCATGATTGCAAAATTGCATTTAACTTCATTAACATTACCGTCTTTTATTACCGCCTACCAAACGAGCCCGTTCAAAACATAGAAATATCATACTTAATACATAGAAATCATGAAAGCAGAGATACACACAAATTCCAGATCCAATAATGGACCAATTCAACAAAATCAATCTCACTTTCCTATGACTAACCCAAAAAACAATAAAAAAAATCACACAAACCCAGATCTAATAATCAATTATTTTCAACAACCCACATCAAATCAACACAAAATAAACAACAAATGAAGAATAAATAATAATTCAAATGAAGAATAAAAATTAAAAACAAATAAATAAATATACCTCAGCAGCAACAAGGCCACTAATGTGAGCCATATCACAAAGCAAAAGAGCACCACACTTATCAGCAATAGCCCTAAATCTGGCATAATCCCAATCCCTAGGATAAGCACTTCCACCACAAATAATCAATTTAGGCCTAAAGTCCAAAGCTTTCTCTTCAAGCTTATCATAATCAATATACCCAGTTTGAAAATTCACTTTGTAAGGCAAACTCTCAAAGTAAATCGAAGTTGCAGAGATCTTCTTCCCACCAGCAGTGTAATACCCATGAGTTAAATGCCCACCTGAAGGAAGATCAAGCCCCATAATCCTGTCGTGCGGATTCAACACGGCAGTGTAAGCCGCGAAATTCGCCGGACTCCCAGAATACGGCTGAACATTAACACCCCATTTTTCTGGGTTTAGCCTGTAACATTCAAGTGCCCTTGATCGGCAAAGATTCTCGATCACATCGATATGCTCGTTGCCGCCATAGTAGCGGTTTCCGGGCATACCTTCTGAGTATTTGTTGGTTAAAGCAGATCCAAGAGCTTCAATGACGGCAAATGAGGTGAAATTTTCGGATGCGATGAGCTCAATGCCTCGACATTGACGACGCTTTTCTTTCTCAATGAGGTCGAAGATTTCGGGGTCGATTTCTTCGAGGGAAGTGTTTCCCCAGACATTGACGGGATCCATTGAAAGAGGGGAGGAGAGAGAAGATGGGTTTGCAGAAGATTTGAGGATGGAGGAAGAAGATGGAGGGAGGAGAGAAGAGGGAGTGCACACAAGGTGTTTGATGAAATGCGGAGGAGATTTAAAGAGGGAAATGGATGGTTGCGAAATTACTTTTATGTCCTTGTAGTACAGTGATGAGGAGATTTGGTGCATCATTTTATTTTATTTTTATTTTTTATATTTGGATGATGAAATAAAAATAATTTAAATTAATGTTATTTTTTTACTGTGGTTTGGTGGAGAGAGAGAAAGAAGAGGTTGGTTTTGGATCTGAGAAAATGAAAGTGTCGACACAAAAAAACATTTCTTATTTTATTTTAGAATAATATAAAAAAAATCAGTATTAAAATAAATATAATATGGTTAAAAATATCTGATTTGGGCCCTTTGCGGTTTGTGGACTTCACTAACCCACTAGTCCACAACATATAGTGAGAATGTGAGATGTACTCTCTTTTCAATTTCATAGAATAAGGATGGAGTATATTATAGTTAATTAGTTATCCATATAACTACGTGTCAAACTACCTACAAAGTGTGAGTGTGTGACTCGATTCCAGAGGTGTAAGGTTTGAATTCTATCACGTGAAGGTGTCTGAGGGTATAGAATTAATAAAAGTATGATAGTTATGGTTTAGTCTAGTTTAAAATGACTTTTTTATACATGAATTGGTCTTTTGAATTTTACATTCGAAGTGTAGAATTAAATTTGTATTTCTTTAATTTTTTTATATAAGTTATAAGTCTATAACTCATAAATTTTATATGATCGGATAAAGAGAATTTAGATGTTTTTGAA